TTCTTTCCCATTTCTAATGAAAATTTTGTTTATGTACTGAAACACTGCAAACGTCTATAAATATTGTGATTTATTTGACCAACACAAAGGATCTTTTTAGAAACAGCAAACAGTTCTCAGATCTATAGGAATTATTCATTTAATGATAGTTTCTTCTTAAAAAAAGAAAATAGTGTTTAGTTACCAAATCATAAACAACCTAAACAACCCCTTAAAAGACACTCAAATAATCTCATGAGTCAGGAGGGTGATGATCAGTATATTTGGTTAATAAAATGTAGCATAGAAAGCCTAAACCATAAATGGAAAATATAACAGGTTATACCAAAGAGAATACATTGAAATACATTAAGAAATCGGATTTAAACTATGATTGGATCCTTCTTTAGGTGGAAGTTATTTGAGAGGATAATTCCATGAAAATTAAAAAGTCGTGATTCTTTCATTGTAGGCTAGAAGAATGGATTTAGTCAACTGAGATTAAGTGTAGGGGACTCTACAAGAACCTACACAAGGATAAGAATATTGGAGGAAAAACAGTGGATGAGATACCAGATGTTATGGCATTCCATCTTGGTAAATACATGCAATAAAATCTGGTCTATCTGGCTTTCTTTCAACCTGAATGCCACTCACCGATATCACTGCATTTCTGCAGTACTGTAATTGAGGTTTATAATGATGACCCTGACATGACTTGTGAATCAGAGTAGAAGATTAAATTATGTTCTGCTTTTCCTTCATGTATTTAATTATATTTATATTAGTTGCAAACAGGCAATCTGATCTGTTTTAAAACCCTGCTAGATTAATCAGAGCCTCTTTATCAGACACCCAACCATCCTTGATAGCAGAGTTTATAGTTCATGGGAGAAAACAAAAAAAACCAAATAAACCACACAGGAACTGATTTTAAAATGTGACATCTGTACTATCGTAGCAAGAATAATTATTACAAGATAATTTGGAATCATCCAGCCACATTTTAAATAACTATAACAAATGTGTTAGTTAATAATAAATGCTATGTAACTACTTCTTTTTAATAAGTGTACTTCATATTCTGTAGTGAGAAAAAAATGTACCTTAGACTGAATAAATAAATCTTCATCTCGGATCTGATAGAATGTGGTTAGTGTCTACAAGAGAACAGATATTAGGCATATTTTCAGTTGAGTTGGTTTGTATGTAAAAGTTTGGTTTGAGGGTCCCATCAAGTTGCTTCTCATCTCACCTTTGGTTTACCCAGAGATGACTGGTGACAAAAAAGGTGCTCTAATAAACGTGAATAAGCCTGTGTTGTAGGTCAGATTCTCTGCAAGAGGAGCCTGAGACAGGGATTCTTGTGCAAATGTCTTATTGAGAATGGTCTCTCAGGAGAGGGGAATGTGGAGGTAGCATGGAGAAAGAGGATAAAGCTAAAAAGAAAGGCATGGCCCCAGCTGGAGACTGGCTTTGGTCCGATCCTGTGGGGAACCTGCTATAGTTTGGATGTTTGTCCTCCCAAACCTCAAGTTGAAATTTGATCCCCAATGTTGGAAGTGAGGCCTAATGGACAGTATTTGGGCCATGGGATAGATCTCTCATGAACAGATTAATGCCCTCCCTGGGTAGTGGGAAGGAGTGAGTTCTTCCTCTGTTAGTACCTGAGAGAGCTGATTGTTAAAAAGAGCCTGATGCTCTCCACCACTTTATCCCTTCCCCACTGCTGACTTCCTCTCTCACATGTGATCTCTGTACACATGGGCTCCTCTTCACCTTTGGCCATGAGTGGAAGCAGCCTGAGGTCCTAACCAGCAGCAGATGCTGGTGCCATGCTTCCTGTACAGTTTGCAGAACCATAAGCCAAATAAACCTCTTTATAAATTGCCGCGCCTTGGGCATTCCTTTATAGCAACACAAAACATTCTTTGTAAATTCTTTATAAATTACCCATTCTTTATAAATTACGCAGCTTTGAGCATTCCTTTATAGCAACACAAAACAGACTAAGACAGAACCCTAGAGCAAGCGTGGCACCATAGAGTTGGTCGCCTTGAGGCCTTTTGTACCCCCACTGTCAGTAACTCACTGGCTGTGGGTCAGGGATATCCACCAGGGAAGGAACTTCTGTTCTCCAAAGGGCAAGGGTAACCTTCCAAGAGCAACTAACACAGCAGCTACGGATGTTCACCAGCCCAAGAAGGGGATCTGGGCAGGACCCCACTTATTCACTACACTTGGGAACACTCTCATATATGGGTTACAGCTGCAGACCAACCCCTAATAATCCTATAACAAGCAAAGCATACTATGGAAAGTACTGCAGCAGCCAAACGGGGCTTAGGAACCCTGTCTCCGCTCACCCACCCTTTGTGCCAAGGAATGGCAGCTGGTGGTGGCTTCTGGGACTGAGAAAAGGTGCCCAATAGGGGAAGAACTGAGGATGTTAGGAAAATTTAGGATAGGTCTAGACAGCCTGGGATAGGACAAGAGGAGCCTTGGGTTAAGGCTTATGTCTGAGGCCTACTTACCAATCTCCTTGCTTGTCTCCCATTAGCCCTAGAAATATGCTTGCCTGCTTATCTTTCCTCTGCCAATACCTTTTGCTGCCCACTAGGATTGCTATCTTCCCTAGCCTCCTCTGCAGTGACCTCTGTCTCTCTTCAGACAGTTTTTCCACCCACTCTTCATGTAACAACATTCAACTTCAGTTTCCCTGACATTTTCTAGTAGTTTGACAGTTAAATAATATGGGGAGGGGGAACAGAGTAGACATCCTTCCCATGCTATTCCCCTTCTTAAATTAATTTTTAAAATTTATTTTATTTTTAAATTTTTATTTATTTTGAGACTGAGTTATGAGACTGGCTAATTTTTGTATTTTTGGTAGAGAAGGGGTTTTGTCATGTTGCTCAGGCTAGTCTTGAATTCCTGGCATCAAGCAATCTACTTGCCTCGGCCTCCCAAAGTGCTGGGATTACAGGCATGAGCTATCACGCCTGGCCCTTCTTCCTAAATTTAGCTTGATGAGCTATACCCAACAAGGGTACTTCTGATGGTTTTTTGGGAAAAACAAAGACCATGTAGTTGATTCACCTGAATTTTACGGGAGTGCCTAGAGGCTGTCCTGGGAGGTGCTGGATGAAGGCTTCAGGTGCAGTGAGGAGTGGAGGAGGTGGACAGGAAGGGCCCCCCTCAGGCCCTTCACCAGCCCCAGACCTGCTGAAGACACCATTTCAGACATGGACAACAGAATGGGTGGGTGTGGGGCAAGAGTGACAAGACATTGGCTACTGTGGGCTCTGAAGGAACAGAGGAAAATCATTTTTTTTTTCCTTTGTTTTTTTTTTTCCCCCCTCTGGGAAAGGAAAAGAAATTCCCTTTACTCCAAGGCTAGGGTAGAATTAAATGACTCTAAGTTAAACTACTGAATACTACCACTTTGGCTGGAATCAGAGCATCTGATACTGTAATCAGCTAAGCAAGGGACCTGGGGTGGCCCCCAGCAACACAGTCTGCATGGGCACCATGTGGCATGGTGGAAGGCAGGGGGTAAGCTAGTTAAGACATTTACGGTGTCTAGCCGGGCGAGGTGGCGGGCGCCTGTAGTCCCAGCTACTCGGGAGGCTGAGGCAGGAGAATAGCGTGAACCCGGGAAGCAGAGCTTGCAGCGAGCTGAGATCCAGCTACTGCACTCCAGCCTGGGTGACAAAGCAAGACTCCGTCTCAAAAAAAAAAAAAAAAGACATTTACGGTGTCATCATCTTGGAAGGTGTCATCACCTTCCAAGAGAGCTTTCTCTTCCTGTTGCTCTTCAGTCTTTGCAGAGAGCCCAGCCTTCCTGACCTGTATAGGGAGTGAGACCACTGATTTATAAAAAGGACTCTTAAGACCCTTTTCTGGAGAGATTGGAAAGATACCAAGACAGATCTTAGTTCAAACCTTGGCTCTGCTTCTTTCTACCCAAGTGATCGTGAGCGAGTTGTTTAAGTTCTCTGGTCTTAATTTTCTGCCCACCTTTTTTTTTTCACTAATAAAGAGAGGAGGTTTAATTGGCTTGTCACAGTCCTGCAGGCTATACAGGAAATGTGGCGCCGGCATCTGCTTAGCATCTCATGAGAGCCTCAGGAAGCTTCCAATCCTGGCGGAAGGAAAGGGGAACCAGCCATCACATGGTACGAGTGTAAGAAAGAGGGGGAGAGGGACGGGGAGAGAGGAGGAAGAGAGAAAGAGAGGGAGAGAGAATGGCCTTAACTTTCTTATCTGCAAAAACAGAAGGGGATGGCAGGAAGGGGAAGACAATATTAGTGGCACACACAGAGTTATTGTGAGGATCAACTAGAATGTGTGTGAAGTATAGTGCTGGGTACATAAGTATTGTTATAACATCATAGTCATAATAACTGTTATTATCTGTGGGCTCTAAGCAAATAGTTTTCTATTTCAGTATATTCTGTGCCAGGCACTGTTCTAAATGCTCACGTATTAACTTTTTAAATCTTCATAATAACTCTTATGAATTAGGTACTATTATTGTATCTGTGTTGTAGATTCAGAAGCCAAGGCACAGAGAGATTAAGTAATTTGCCCACAGTCTCATCCTTAGATAGTGACAGGGCTAAGATTCAAACCCAGGAAGTCTGACTTCAAAGTCTGCATCTGCCACTTCAATAGGTAGTTAAAGAGTGAGGCAGGAATCAAAGATAACTGATAGAATTGGCACCAGCTCAAGGTGAAAAGATCAGAGTGGAATTGCAAATTGAGAGCCTGGATTAGGCAGGTTCCCTTCCCCTAGTGCCCAGAGTATGCTGAGGGTGAGGAGTGAGTGAGGATTGGGCGGGTCCCACAACATCAAAGCCTCACCATGGACTGTTTCCCTCACAAAGTAAATTAATCGATTTTATTTTAGAGTGACTGGTAAGTTTCCAAGTCTTTTTCCAAGCAAATTGGAAAATAACCCATGGATGACTATGACTAAGGTAACTATGTGCATTTTACTCTTTTCTTTCTTTTACCAGGTAAGAGGCCATCCTAGGAAACAATCCTGTGAGTGATATTCCATGAATTATCTTCATGAACCGGAACAAGTCACTTTGCCTTCCTGCACCTTCTCTGAGATGGAAGAATGATCTGAAAATATGCCTCCCCAGTGAACCTCAGCCCTGGCTGGCAGATCTGGCTGGCTAATGGGAGTCCCCTTGTCCTCTCCATGGCTCCTGTGCCTCCCCTTCAAGACTGTGTGTGTATTCCAAGAGGACTACCTTCCCAGGTGGGGATGTATTGTTCTTATAATAATGTAAAGGCTTACAGAATTTCCTTGAATGTTGCATCTACTTTTAGGGTTCTGAATCTATGAATCACAAATTAGAATTGGTGCCTTTGGAAGAGGAGGTGGGACATGAAGCCCGCTCTAGCTTCTGGTAATGCCCTAAGGAGCAGCTCAAAATACAGCTGAAAGAACCCAGAAAACAAAATAGGTAAGTCTTGAAGAGAGATCAACATTAGGAACATAATATTCACTGAATATAATTCTGCGGTCTGTTTTATACTTTATTCTATGCATCCAGTGAGCTCTATTAGTCACTAAAGCGTTGTAACAAATAAATTACAAAACGTTGATACCCTAAGAAGAAATAGCCTCATGCCACTTGTTGCCCTTTGGCGCCCTTTGGCTCTCAAAACTGGAAAGTCCACATACTTATAGTGGTTATGATAGTTTATCAAACTGAAGAAAAAAAGCCTGAAAAACACTCCAGTAATTCCAGACACAAGCAGATAATCTATTCAGTCCTGTGTAGTTTCAGAGAGTAAATGAAGAAAAGGAATTTTTTTTCTTCTCCTCAGGGCAGAGATGTTTTTCAGTTCTTCTTCTTTTTTTTTTTTTTTTTTTTTTTTATTTTAGCACTTGATATTCCCTTGGGAAGTGTTGGTTACAACAAAACACTATTTATTAGAATCCCAGTATCTGAAATTAATCAAAGATAGATTAGCATGCCAGTCTCCCCTTTCCTCTTTTGTAATAAAAGAGCAATAGTCATTTTACTATTGCTAAATGTCATTTACATTTAGTCATTTACTAAAAACTGTAAAAATTTTCTTAATATAAGCATAAAGTTACATAAGCCGAAGAGAAGATGTACCGGAAGGTAAATAGGCATGGCAGAGGTTTGAAAGGCTGTTAGGCACTAGATTATAATCCTTCTCGGGTATGGACAACATCTGGGTGTTATTTTTTCTCTCATAGCCAGTTCAGTACTCACTGTGCACGAGAAGTGCTTGAGTGAGTCTTTGTTAGATAAATGAAAAGCAAAGTAATCCACTTTTCAGAGCTCTCTTCAGAGACCTGAGCCTGAACAAGACAATTCTCTAAAGGACAGAATATTTGGGAATTAAAAATAGGACATTATAAGATGCCGTTTGTTACTTTTTAAATCCCGTTTTCATCCTGGCTACACTAACTCTACCCTCAAGGGCAGGAAAACAGAGGACCAGAGATGGCTCCAGGCAAGTCGTGAGTTGTGTGTCATCAGCATCTATCTATAGTGGTGATTCTGGTGCTGACATGCGGTGGTTTATTTAATCTATTTGGGCCCCAGCATCTGCATGTGTAAAAGGGAATGATGATAATGAGTATTTTCCAAAATATGTGGTTGAAGGATTAACTGTATTTGAGATAGAGTAGGCAGGCCTCAGTTCGTGTCCGCTATTAGCCTTAGTCTGTCTACAGGAACCAGAAGTTTCAGATTGGGAGAAGCCTGGTCTTTTCGTGAGATGCTTTCTTGTGGCGGGACAAGGAGTTGGTGTGAGACCTGAAACCCAGCCTCTCAGGAGCAGAAAAAGAGGGGACTGGATGTTCTGCTGGTGATTCTGAGATGAGTGTTAACATCAGATGTGGTTGTTAGTCTCCAGATTGGCAAACTGAAATGTTTCCTTCATGCATTTCTTTGTTTTTCGTTTTGGTTTTGGTTCTTTCTGCTGATAAATATTCTTACTCAGAGGTTATTACTGCAAATAATAAAGAAAAATACTGGTAAACCAGGCCTCTGATGTGTTATTGTTAAAAAACAAAATCAATGTTTTATTCACAGTCTGAGTAGAGACTTGGCTTGATTGTTCTGAAAGAATTCTGTGTGGCAGGACAGGGGCTGAGCAAAAGAGTAGTGTTCAAAGGATTTATTGGTGTTGACTGTGAGTGTCTGTTTGTGTCTGTCTGTAAAGTTGGCTTGGTAGTCAGAACGTATGGGAAAACCTTCCAAGGGTCATATGGCAGCTTTTCAAAAATTCAGTAGAGCTGGGTACACAATTTCCGTGGACTCACCCCCATCTAAGCAGCCTCTAGCAAAGGGACCAGAGCAGCTGTAAGATACCTGTTCAGGACAGATTTGTATAGGCCTGAAGCAGGATACCGCATCCCAAGCAACCACAGACTGCCAGGAAAGTTCCCTGTCATGGCACAACTTAAGCTGAAAAATCAGCATCACAGCCTGTTGAGCTGGAAGGGGTCCTAGAGCTGCTACCATCCAATCCTTTCATTCTCTAGTTGAGGAATCAAATCTACACATCTCTAATGACCTGCCTAAGATAATGCAGCGAATTAGGGTCAGAGTTAAGATTTGAGACAGAATACAGAAATTTTTTTTTAAAGCCTTCTGTACTGACATTTGTTTTCATTAAACTTGATACCACTTCTATCCTTTGTTTGTCAACTTTTATCTCTGAGAAATTAATGTTGCAATAAGGTAGAATCAAAGAAATTGGTGAGAGAAATTGTGCTGACATGTTTGGGGTTGTCTTTGTATTCTCTGAAACCACAGAAAACATTTGATTAAATAGTTTGCAGTTAATGTGACAATTTATGTTTACTTTCAAAGGGGACTGTCATTTTCAGAAGTTAAAGAAATCTTTGTTTCATATGTGGGCTTTACAGTCTGGGCTCTTGATACCCATGGTGATGGGTTATTGTTGCTTGTGCCACTGTTAAACCAAGTACTGCTTTGAAAACAATTCAAAGCCATTTTAGAGGAACCCAAATGTCAGGTCTGTCTGATTATAGTACATGCAATTGTCAAGCTAGAAAAACGGGCATCCGTTGGTGAGCTTTGCTGTCCATGAGCTGTGAGCAGTCAGTCTGGTTCCTAGGGAACAGCCCTCCACTGTATTTAAGACACAGGTCTCACCCCCAGATCGAGCTGCTCCGAATTGCCATTTTACTCAAGATCAAGCATATCAGAAGTCACATTGTAAGCAGTAGGGAAACTATTAAGTTGAACTGAAGTAGAATAGCTAGAAAGAAGAAAATACACGTGTACTTGAAAGATGCAGGGAGGCTGGGCATGTTCACCGGTATCCTCCTGTGCAGAGGTAGGATCTTTTTGTTTGCCCTGGTCTAGTTTAAGAATCCTCTGCCAAGAAGGTTCTTTTAGTTTGCATTTTAAGATGTTATCCTTGTCATAATTTTAAACCATGAACTTTCCTTGTGCCAATTAAAGAAAAATGAAATAGAGGTCAGCCTCTCCCTGAACTCCTCTCAGCGCGTGAACATTCTTTCTCTACACATGGGCATTTGCACACTGCCTCCCCAGCCCGAGACCCGTACTGCGGCCACTAATTGAATTCCTAATGGTTGGGCCAGGGAAAACTCAGTTCCAAATTGCTCTCCTCCTTCCCCTAAGAGATCACACGTGTGTCAGTCTTTGTCCCTTGCCCTAACCCTCAACCTCGTCCTTCCTCTGCCATCGCTTTCTTTACATGCACATGTAGACATAGAGACTTGCACTTGGAAGCCTTTTCCTCCTTTCTGCTGCCTCCCAGCTCTTTCCTGTTTCCTTATAGAATCCTCTCCTCCTACACCTCCATTCATTATTTTCTCCCTCCCATTTTGTTCCCCAAATCTACCTGTAACACAAAGCTGATAAGCATATAAATTTTGCTTGTGATAAACCTTGAAGGAGGAAATAGCAAAGTCATGCATTTTGGTGTGTGTTCAGATAAAGAACCACTGCCACAATGCTTTTGAGAATTTACTTTATATTGAAGCCTTCATTTCCTACTCCCTGCTCCCCACCATATGCTTCTCTAGTTGCACTTAATTTCGTTATTAAAAATGTACTGGCTGGGCACAGTGACTCATGCCTGTAATCCCAGCACTTTGGGAGGCCGAGGTGGGAAGTTCACAAGGTCAAGAGATCAAGACCATCCTGGCCAACATGGTGAAACCCCGTCTCTACTAAAACTACAAAAATTAGCTGGGTGTGGTGGCGCACACCTGTAGTCCCAGCTACCTGGGAGGCTGAGGCAGGAGAATCCCTTGAACCTAGAAGGCAGAGCTTGCAGTGAACTGAGATTGCACTACTGCACTCCAGTCTGGAGACAAAACGAGACTCTATCTCAAAAAAAAAAAAAAAGTACTTTATGGCCAGGCATGGTGGCTCACACCTGTAATCCCAGCACTTTGGGAGGCCTAGGCGGGAGGATTGCTTGAGCCCATCTCTACCAAAAAAAAAAAAAAAAGCAAAAAACAAAAAACAGCTGGGCATTGTGGTACATGCCTGTAGTTCCAGCTACTGGAGAGGCTGAGGTGGGAGAGTTGCTTGAGACTGGGAGGTCGAGGCTGCAGTGGGCTGTGATTGTGCTATGCACTCCAGCCTGAACAATAAAATGAGACCCTATCTCAAAATAAAAAAAATACTTTAAAATTTTTTCTAGTTAACAATTTTTCCATTTTGAGTGCTATAGTACAGTATTGTCTTCCATTACTTTTCATTGCTGATGTAACACATAAAATAAATAAGTGCTTTTGAAATAATTTTGGAACCTGGCCATTTTTAGAACATTGTTTCAAAGAGAAAATGAATTTCCAGCTTTTAGAACATGATTTATTTTAAGTTGGCTATTTCCTCTGTGTGTTTGTTAACACAAATATTTTTGATGTGGTGACATAAAATCAGAGAGGCCTGCCTTGGTTTTTACCTTGTTAAATATGTTCATAATAGAAAAAAAATTAACCTTTTATTTCGTATATTTAATTGTGTTTGTATAGCATTCTTAGAGACTGCATTAGTCTGCTCTCATTGCTATAAAGACATACCTGAGACTGGGTAATTTCTGGAGAAAAGAGGCTTAATTGACTCACAGTTCCACAGGCTGTACAGAAGGCATGGCTGGGGAGGCCTCGGGAAACTTACAATCATGGCAGAAGGCGAAAGGGAAGCAGACACAGTCTTCACGTGGTGGGGCAGGAGAGAGAGAGCAAAGAGGGAGGTGCTACACACGTTTCAACCATCAGATCCCATGAGAACTCACTCACTATCGTGAGAACAGCAAGGGGGAAATCCACCCCCATGATCCAGTCACCTCCCACCAGGTCCCTCCCCCAACATTGGGAATTATAATTCAATATGAGATTTGGGTGGAGACATAGATCCAAACCGTATCAGAGACCTCGCAATGCATGCTGCTATTATTTATAATTTTTCATAATCAAAGAGTATATGGAGACTGCAGCTTTCCACTATTTTTGTTTTTCCCCTCTTCCTGGGCACATGGAGAGGCTCTATTTTCCAGTCTCCCTTGTAGTGAGGTGTAGCCATGTGACTGGACATTTGCCATTGGAATATGAGTATGGGAGACTTGAGGAACTTCTGCCTCATCTGCATGAGAGGAAACCTCTGGCCAGGGACTTCTCTTTCCCCCACTCAGCCAGCTGGAATGCCCATGGCCAGAGCACCCTGGAAGCTGACTTTTGGTGGCAGAGCCTCTGCCAGCCTGGTCTCCAGTGACTGATGGGCACAAAGCTGCCCACCACGCTAGGATGCTTACCTGGGTTGTTACTTGGGACACGAATAAACTTGGCTGTTCTTTGAGCCACTGAATTTTGGAGGCTGTCTTTCATACAGCAGCTTAGCTTACTCTCTAATACGATGACAAAAGAGAGTTTACAAGTTATCCTGTTGGAAACGAGTTTACCCCAATATACTGAAAAATCAAAATATATAAGCAAAAAGTAATTTTCTTCAGAAAATGAAGTTCTAGACATTTGTAACTATTTTACTTTGGTTTTGATGATGAATTTCTCTAAACATTAAGAAATTTATAAGGCTAATTTAATCTTCCATTCAAACATAAAAATTTACCAAAGCCAGACATATTTCCCAAAGAGCTGTTATTTGAAAGGGGCAATTTGTTCTGGCCTTCATTATGTCTATTAAACGAAAATGAGTAACAGAATACCCACCTCAGAAGCACATTTCTTGGATCTAGTGTCCTGTGATAATCTCATTTTAATTAGGACCAAATTCTGTTATGATGAACTGACCTCTCAAGAAACCAAACTCTTCACGGGTCACTTGGTAATAAAATAACGAAGCATAAAGCAAAGTTAACATCATTAAAATTTTTAAAAAGAAGTGTAAATTGGAATAAGGGTAAAATCATACCTGCTCATGATTTGTTTCTTGTTTCCATAATTTCCACCACAATTGATGTCATATTTCTTACAAATTGCTGAATATTTTTGTTTGTACATTTGTTGGTGTGCTGTGTTTTTCCTCACAGAGCAAAATATCATCTAAAGTTTATGTTTTTTGTAGTTATTTAATCAAAATATGTATTATCAAAATAATATAAAGTATGAAAGTTAAAATACACAGTGCCAAATTGGCCCATGGCAAAAAACAAATATGTAGGCTCCAAATGAAGTCAAGATGAATTCATTTCTCACAGTCCTAAAGTTTAAGAGTTAGGGAGAGGGGTTACAGAAGAATCCATAGGCTTGATCACCTCATGAAAACTAAGTGAGTATTACGATATTCTTAGTGGAACGCAAAATTCTGAATGAATTCTGAGAAAATACATTTAAAAGGATAAGATGAGCTACAGGAAAATAATTCATTCTTGTTTAACATGTTTGGAACTCATAGCAAATTTGTTGTACCTTTTTTTTTTTTTTAATGTAATAATGGACTTTAACTCTCTCTTCCTGTACCAGAATGATTATGGTAATTGTTAAGTAGATCTTCATTATTCATATGAAACTTTCTACTGTAGTCTTAAAGTGACTCCTGTGAGACTTTGTGTCTCAGTAAACATTGGATCCCCTCTTTTACCCGTTCCTGGCTGCCCAACTAAGCTAAACAGAAGCACCATAACCAGGCATCAGAATGACAAGAGAGTGCGTGGGTAGCAGGCGGGGTGCAAGATGATATGGATTGTAGATCTGAAAAGAACCTTGATGAGTTTTCTAACCATTTCTCTCTTTTTGTGTTTAAATATATAAGCAACACATTATAGGCAATTGACTGTTGTGTGGCAGTCCATCTAGAGTCTTGTGCTGAAAAGTCCAGAAAATTGAGTTATAACGCTGGCTTCAGTATGATTTAACTCCTTGACAAATCCCAGGCTGAATCTTACCGTCCTTATCTGAAAATGGGAATGCTGTATTCATACTTGTTTTTCCCCAAGTCCACTTTAGACAAATCAGTACCTGTAGGAAATAACACAAAACACAACTGTTTTAAAATAAAGAGGCTGGGTGTGATGGCTCATGCCTGTGATTCCAGCACGTTGGGAAGTCAAGGTGGGAAGATTGCTTCAAGCTGGGAGTTCAAGAACAGCCTGGGCAACATAGTGAGAACCTGCCTCTAAATAACTAGATAGATTAGATAGATAGATAGATAGATAGATAGATAGATAGATAGATAGATAGATAGATAGACAGATAGACCTAAAGAGAAAGCAAAATCCCAGCGAGGGAGGAGTAAATGTCTGAGGAGTATGAGTGCCGTGGGGATCTATAGAACAGGGATCTGCAAACCACCTGAGGGTCAAATCCAGACTGCCATATGTTTGCAAGAGCTAAGAATGATTTTTACATGTGTAAAGATTTTTTTTTTTAATACAAATAAGACTACATTGTGGTACATGAAAATTATACGAAATTCAAGTATCAGGCCCAGCGCAGTGGCTCGCACCTATAATCCCAGTACTTTGGGAGGCTGAAGCAGGTGGATCACTGGAGCCCAGGAGTTTGATACCAGCCTGGGCAACATAGCTAGACTCCGTCTCAATAAAAAAATAAATAAATAAAAAAATTCAAATAGCAGTGTCATGTCAGAGACCATAGGGCCTTCAGAGCCTAAAAAAGTTACTAACTATTCTTCATAGATAAAGGTTGCCAGTCTTTTCTCTAGAATATTCAAGGTGGAAATGTCCAATTGGCAGTTAGAATTTAGATTCTGGAATTATTCACAAAAGCAGTAGTTTAAAATGTGGGAGTCAACGAAGTCAAGGAAGAGATTAGAGAACAGAGGTCTGGAAAAAGCACCTGGTGGGAGATGTCTTCTGAGAAGATGGGAGAGGAGAGAATAGATAAGGCACAGGAAGAGCATGATAGACTCCCAAAAGCCAAACCAGGGGTGAGTTCCAGATGAGCTGATACATAAAAGCAGACATTCAGAGAGATCATGTAAATTGAATCCTTTTTCAGTTCATTGGATTTGGCAGTGGTTAGAGGTCATTGGTTGCCTCTGAGAACGTTTCCATTTCTGTGAAACAGTGGCGCATTCGCCAGTTTTCAAGAGGTTCGGGAGCGAACAGGTTTACCCTGGAAAGGAAACTGGAAGATAATAGTCTGAAGGGATTACAAAACCAAGGGAAATTGACTTTTGTTTGCTTACGTATTTGTTGCCTTTCGTAAGAGAGTACTGAGAGTGTTCATTGGCCTAGCAAAAGCATTCAAGAGATGGAGATGAAAAGAGGAGACAGGGCAGAGTAAAGGTGAGGGAAAGAAATGGAAAAAAGGTTGATGAGTTGACCAAGTTGCAAGCAGTACCACTCCCTCTGAAGTGAAATGAAGGAAAATGGTGAAAATACAAAGAAAACTTGAGAGGGAATGCAGGAAAGGTGTAATGGCAGTAAGTGGCAAGGCCGCTTGCATAGAATAAGAGAGCGGGGAGTATGATGAGGCATGTCATCCTGCAGGAAGCTGCAGAGGGCCCACTGGAGAGTAGGAAGACCGATGAGAATCATTTGAAATACGTTCATAACCTTTCCCTGAAATCTGGATGCTTAGGTGTGGAGATGGAAAAGAAAGTGGAGATGATCGGGGTTGTAATTAATGTGGAAGCATCAAGCAAACTTAAAGGGTGGAATGAGGGTTCAAGAAGACAGTGTTGAAATAACT